TGAAAACTAGCCTGGAGCCACCGTTTTGGTCCAAAACCATGACATTTACCAATGCAAAGAGCATCATACTTCAACACCACCCTTCGCTGCCTATATGCCAGAGCAAAAGCTGTGTATCTTTTTCGGACTACCCTGAGTCTGCCCATGATCTCTGCCAGCACATTTCCGGGAATCAAAGTTTTCAAAGATGATTAAAACTAGTTTTTTTATAATAATTGATAATTGGGTTTGGAGGATTCTTCCGACAGACAAAAGATCACAACTCGGATGCTCTCAGATGAGATTCAGTAGCTTAGAGAAAGCCTGTTATTTCCACTCATTCCTGAAAACACAGATTAACACAGATCATGAATTATATTTTAAGTGTACGTTACACTGTAAGAGTACAGTTCTGAATTCTTTCTAGACGAAATATGAAAGGAAAAAATTCCATGCCCAGAATGACAAAATATGCTCACATTCCTAAAATTTCTGACATTTGGGCCTACTTAATAAAAGCCAGTAATTCTTCTGGTATTTTGAGAGAGGTAAGGGTAAGGCCATAGGGCGTTGCTATTTTGTTAATGTCCCACAATTTCCTGTGCAAGAGAGACAGAAGAAAGAAACCTGCATGTTCTTGCAAAAACCCACAAGCAGTATCATTTTTCAGATCAAACAAGGAAGAGGACAGAACCTGCTTCTGGTGCATGAAAAGAGGCAGTGAGACAATTCAGAACCATTAAATTCACACTCAAGCCTTGAAAGCCTGAAGGCAGCTCTTTAGTATGTACCATTTAGCAACATAGCATTTTGATTTTTTAGATCAAAAATCTGGTTTCAGGGACTTTATTCCTCCAATTCAGCTCTTCAGCAGGTAGAAACTTCCTCCAACTCCTCTGTATCACTAGTATTAACAATTAAACCCCCCAAAAGCTTCTTTTCTGCATCACTGATCATAAAAAATAAAAAAGACCATCAGAGAGCTATTAAAAATCAGGATTTTTTTGCTTGCCCATTCGTTTTAGAGCATGCTTAATCTTTCAGCATTGACTAGCTGTTTCAGGAAGGTGGGGGCATCACTGAAAAGTTGAGACACTGATTTAAAATAATCCAGAGCTTTAAAAGGCATTAAAAAAATGTCATCCATAGGCGAGGCAGAGCAGTGATGGTAGCAGTGAAGCACTGCCACTTCTGTAGGAAAAAAGTAGTCTACAACACCGCAGAACAAGAGAGCCTCTGCTGCTGGTTATCAGTCCTTTCCAAGGCATTTGATGGCTGATTTTAAGATGTGATGGGAGAAAAGACCACTCTCAGATGTGAGCTTACAACCTGGACCCTGATGAAACTTTGCTTGTGGCATTCATTTTCTGGCCAATGCAGAAAACTTACAATAGTTTACTATTGTGCCTTGAAAAACAAGGAAAGTAGATCTATGCTAAAACATATCATGTTGAATTATTTTAACTCATTAGGATATAGAGAGTTAAACTGGGATATATTTGATTTTCTAAGTGGCTTCAGAAGCTGTTAAGAAAGTTGAGTGGGGAAAGGCAGAGGATGCATTTCAGAGCTTGTAATTGTTGATGTTTTCCACTTCCCATCAGGCTGACACGGAGCATGTCTCATGCACACAACTTTTCTGAAATCTCTTCTCTTCCAGGAAACTCAAAACTGCTATTTGGGATTCTGGCCACTCCTTCCCCTGCTCACTGGAGATGTTTTCTACACTGCTCATCTACCAGAAGGAACAGACAGAGGCACAGCCTCCTGCTCCAGCCTGGGAGCAATTCCCGTACATGCTTCGACTCATCTCTAGGCTAGCGGAGTATTAAATATTACTAACAGTGAGGAATGGAGAGCCCTGAGCTGCAGTGAGATAAAGACATTTTTGTCTGCATATTCTAGAGCTTTGGGTTGCTGCATAAACCAGCCACCATTCTGGTCTCGACCACAGAAACACTGTTGACTTTATCGAGCTACAGGCATGAAAAACCGTCTAGTAAGAAAAGAGAACAAAATCACCATTCTCGCAGAAACCATCTGCTGTGGTTCCTGTACTGCCTGCATTGCACTGCATGTACTTCACATGCACACAGGGAGTTGCCATTTGACCTGTGATACAATTTCATGTGTAAAGGGAGAAGGGGGTTAGTATTTCCTTTTTTGTACCATGCCGTTCTCACTGAGGGCTCATCGAAGCAAGTGTTTCAGAGAACTAAAGCAATATACTACAGATGGGTGGGACATTTTTCCTCACTGGAAATAAAAGCCATAATCCAAGCCACCTTTCCCTGTCCTCCATCCATTTTAACAAAGCACCTCAGCCCCAAGCCATTACATGCAGCTGAAATAACCAAAGTCCTCCAGCTGACTGATACATCCCAACAAGCAGGGGCAGAAAAACCCAGGGGATGCTGTGACGTCTGAGCATGGGCTAGGAAGGAGGTTGCAGGACACCTCCTTGCAGCCATGACTCGTTTCAGTCCAGCTTCCATAAGGCAACATGCTGCTCCATGAATCGCTATCTCCAAAGTCTCCCTCCCACCCATGTCCTTAAGCAAGAGGAAAATAAAGCATCAGGTTTGCACTTCCCATGTCAGATTTAATGAAAACCAAAAGGAAGGGGGAAAAAACCCCCGACTTACTTGCACAGTAGTACGAATCCTTATTGAAAGGTTTCATACAGTGGTAACAGGTTGCTTGGGCTACAACGGAGGTTGCAGTGAAGAGATGTCCGTTTAACAGCTTCTTGTCTTTTTCCTTCTCCTTGGAATCTTTGTCCTTCTCTTTAGTCTTCTCTTTATCCTTCTCTTTTTCCTGCCGAGAGAAAACGAACAAATGCCTTGTTACTTCGCAGAGGTCTATCCTCTAGTTACAAATTCTTCAGTGTTTGCCTTCAGCACTATGACGATATCGATCGGTATACACCTTAACAATAGTCATGTGTCTGCACAGCGCTCTGTTAAAAAAATCAGCTTACAGCCCCCATGGATGTGTCTTAACGTACTAGTGACTCGCAGTGCCTTCTGCATGGGTATCTCAGCAGCAGAGATGAAACTCAGTCTGTTCGGAAGGCAGGTATTTTCTTCCACCTTTGTTTTATATTTGCTATACAATGACTTCTTTTCTTCTAGGCTCTAATCAATCTCTTCAGCACTTTTAATGAATTGTGTCAAATACAAACACCACATGTAATGTGTATCAAACTTTCAACATAGTTAATTTTTAAGGCTGACCCAAAAGACTCGTGCTTTGCAGCTGCATTTTTAATGGGGAACGCAAACTCTTCCCTGGTGACGGTACAGCACCACTGCCAGAATATTTCCACCTCCGTTTTCCTTCTAGCAACTTTTTCAACAGTTTCATGCGACCCCAAGTAACTATGTGAAGCTTTTTGGGGAAATGGGTCTTTTACAAACTCTTGAAATATGGCACCACAGAAAGGCTGAGGAACCGTAGCAACACCATAAAAGATTATCTTGCTTCCGGAAGCCACGGTTCAACCTCAGGGCTACTCAGCTTTGGAAAGATGACATGCACAGCCAGCTTCTCCAACTTTTAGCAGAATTTTTGCTTACCTTTCTATCGCCACCTGAGATAGAAAATTGCTAAATACTAAAAATTTGAAACATTTTTTCGCCTGAAGCCTTTTGTGGATTCGGAATTCTCCCAAACAATTTTTAAAGGAAACTCCACAGAAAAACTCCAAATTTGAATCATAGCAACTCCTTCTTTTTCTACGTACCACCATACAATTCAGCTCCAGATCTGTATTTTAACTGTTACTGCAGATTTCATGGCATCTGAAAGAGCAGCTTAACCAGAAATTGGTAAAGGCTTCTGTAAGCTTATCTTTGCATTTTGTTATTCACATGCCACGTGCCCTTTGCTAAATATTGTCAGAACCTAAATATCAGAGAGCTGCAGAGCAGCCCATGTGAGCAACCGCCATGAAGCGGTTAAAAGAGGTATTGAGCTCCGCAGTCACCAGGAGGGAAACTTTTGAGCCTTTTGATGACACACTCAAATAATTAGTAACTCAGCCTAAGGTCTCCCCTCTCCCAACACACCCCAGGCGAAATACCAGCATCAGAGCCTCTTCCTGCAAAGCCTCATAAACAGAAAGTCTATTTACTGGCCCCAAACGCTGTTTTTTCTGCAAATAAGCAAAACCAAGAGTATTACCGGATCGAACAAACCCACCTGAAGCAGAAAACCTGCCAGGAAGAGTCTGCTTTGTGGCACATCTCCGCCTCCTTTGAGCCATCAGCTGGCACATAAACCTCCATAGCCCCGTCCTCCATCCACTGACCTTCCCACCTTTAACCATGCCCAGCCTGGCAGGATTCAAGAACTTAAATTCTGCAGTTTAGTCCTTGGCCAATGGTACCAAGTTGATGCCTGAAGTTTTGCTCTGTTGCCAGGACTTGGGAAGCTCCAGGAGAAAAGATCACCCTACACTCAAGGCAGAGCTTGAGACTCTCACACTTAAAATGCTGAAAGGAGATTCACCGTCTTATATGTTAAATGTACCTGATATTTACTGCAAAGCCCAGTAATTGTAGAGTCTGGAATAATACCCCGTCTTCATAAAATCACTGTAAAAACCATTTTAATTAAAGCTGAACGACCCCAGGAAAAACAGGAAAGGGTGCACCACTTTCAAGGAGGAAACAGCAAACTTCATACACGGGATGCCAGCTATACTGCTGAAATACAAGGTCTCAAAATGAGATTTTTTTTTTTTTTCTGTGACAGTTACTGGAAGGGTTTTTTTTAATAAAAGGACTGTAAAAACAAAACCATTTTCCTGCACTATTGGAGCTGCCAGCACGACTTGAAGCACAGCTTCATGGCTGAACCTGCACCGACGTGCACTAGCAGGCACGATGGGTACCGCAACTCGGTTGTACAGCCCAAAATAACCGCGCATTGCAGCAGCGGAACCCACTCTGAAATAACCATGAAGCTCTTACCTCCCAATGCTTAAGTCCTACCAGCTTCACTGTTATTTGAGGTACTTCGGCAAATTTATTCCATTTCATCGACATCCTTCCCCCGGGGGCAGGAGGGCTGCTCCCCACCAGCATTAGCCCATGGTGACAGCCAAGAGCTGCCAGCACGGGTGGCCAGGGGGGATGGCAGTCAGAGAGGAGTTGAGCAAATGGGGGAGGGCGGTACGATTGCTGCTAACTTCCTTGAAGATGATTTTAGCTTCTTTGCTACTGCTTTTATCTTGCCCTACCCTAGCTTCCACTGCTTAAAAAAAAATACAGGCAGGAAAAGATGGGATTAATATTTTAGAGGTCACCAGTCAACAGGAGACCACCCATTTAAACGGGAGAGGGTGGTAAATCAAACCCTCTGTGATGTTTGGGATACAGAAAGAGTGAATTTTAACGTACCTCAGTGTTGCTATGTAGTACTTCAGTAAACAAAGTGCTGCAGAAGATTTCCCAGACAGCAAGGTTTCATGCGTTCGCGCTCTTCCTGCTCTACGGGTCACAAATATTCCCTGTCTCCCACTCCTTTCAAACCTGTACAACTCCCACTACACACACTGAAACGCTATTGGTGGTACGGCACTGCCGAACAACTGCGCAAGTCAAGGAAAAAAGAGAAATTACTCATGCTAATTTTTTGTCATCATTTCCCAGAAACTCTCTACCAAAATGAAGGAGTATTTTTTTTTTTTAACTTGACAGAGACACAGCACGTTTTAGACTTCACAAATGTGAATCAGTGCGTGCTGCTGATTTCCAGAGACTCGCTGACTCATGCCCAAACAACCCAAAGCACATGCCAGACGTGGGTAAATTCACACAAACTTCTATCCGTATCCCCTCCAGTTAAGACTCCAAACACCACTTTACTTTTAGGTTTTTTTACCTAACTGCTTATACCATTTTCAAAAAGAGCCGTTGCCATCAGTAGGCTCAGATGTGCATTATTTTATGGTTCATCTTAGAAAACGGTGCATTTCTGAAGGTTTGGAGAAAAGTAAAACCTAGTTGGAAAGAAGTTGAAGCCTCTCTCCCTCCTGACAGCCCAGACAGCAGCAGAAACCAACTCTTCCTGTCCAACTTCCTCTTTCAAGGTTTGTTGTTTTTCGTTTTAACTCTTACAGGTTTTCATGGTCCACAATGCTTCTGAGAAATCAGTGTTCCCAAGAATTTTTAGGTTACATTATTTAAATGTACAGCTGAAGCCCTAAAAATGTATGCAATGCAAACATTCCACCATGAGCAGAGAAGAAATTGTAATTTGCATGATATTACGGCTTTTTAGTTAGTAAAAATATCAGAACTGACACGAGCTACAATTTTTGTAGTACGTGTTATTGTTGGGATTTTGGAGCAATTCTTTATCAACAGTTTCAGACACAATCATGAAATCAGTGAAATCAAACTGCACTTACTTAACAAAAGCAGAGTAAATATCTCAAAGCACTTCCGTTATATTTTCTTACCTGTCCCAACCAGATCTCTCTTTTTTTAATATATATATCTCCAATTCTTGCTTTAGAGATTATACACCCAAAGTGCAAGAACCACCTAATGAATTTTGAGTGTCATTCACAGGCTGTGCAACAGGCTGCACAACTTCTTGCTAGCGGTTTTCGCAGAGGTTTCTATGTAAACAGATTTTTTTTTTTGACATTGTACTTTGCAGCTGGGAACAGCATTGTCTTAAAGCTGCTCAGCAGCAGCTCTGAGGCGCTGGTACTTGCAGCTTGCATTTTTAAAGGCAGATCCATGAAGAGGAACTGTGTGTTAGGGTGACTGATCTCACTACAGCTGGTACCTCATTGCAAAGGTGATGCAACCTTCCAAAAACGTGTATCAAAATGTGCACTGGACCATGAGAGCACACAAACCCAGCCATGTTAGAGGAACACTCAGGCTGAAACATCCAGTGCTTATGTTGGTGAAGGCTAAAATAAAGTTTGCTTGTGCAGATGAAACGTAACCCCTCCCATACATGTATGCTTCAGCCCAGCCTTATTCCGAGATAGGCACCATGCTCATTATGCCACATTTTGTTTCCCGTTGGCTATTCGGATGCTCATCAGACTATTACAGCTACACATCACCGAACTATGTAACACACATTGACTGCTGTGAGGTAAGGCACTCAGCTTCTGTCAGACACGATAAACCCAGGCGAGATTCAAGTAAAAAATCCAACCAAGCCAAAAACCCCCCAAACATATATTATTCTTCAAGGGACAATCTAAGGCAACAACAGCCTATTTGTGTGAAGTATTTAGCATTAACGTAATCATTTCTGTAACCAATGCTGTTTCCAGGAAATTCAACTGTGCTGAGCAGCGCTTAACCTTCAGTATATTAAATCTCAGGGTTGCAAGGACAGAAAAAAGGGGAAAATCTAAATACTGGCAAAGGTCACGGTTTGAGCAACTTCTCCAGCAGTGCATGGGAACTTTATGGCAAAGGTAAAAATAAAGTGGAAACACAATACAGCCTTCAGCAGCCAGTCCCTTCTTACAGCTCCTGTCCTCATTTTATTAAACACCTCTCAGGTTCTGTAAAAATTAGACCCATCAATCACTGAAAAGCCATAACTCATGCTGGAGCACAATCTGTTCTCTATAATAAATGAAGCTTCATTCTGTGGGGAAAAGAGGCAAAAACATTGCACAGGAAAACTCACCTCAGATGCATTTCAATTTTGGGGTGCTAAGATTTCCCATGTAGCTATTCCCTATTACCCCACAGACAATCCTCCCTTCGCAAAAGGAAGAAAGGAAGAAAAAAGAAAAGAAAGTCAGGCAAAGACATAAATACCACCCTATGGAAACACACTGAAATACAGAATTCATCTCTGCTACCTATGGGTATTTCACGGCTGTATAAATCACAAGAAGCACTTACTTTGCTCTTCTTACTGCTGGACATTTTATTCCTGAGGTAGCTGAAGGTGCGACTGACTTTTGTTCCACCTTTAGAGCGGTCACTGCTGCTCTCTTCAGATATGCTAAAATCAAAAAAGAAAGAGGTTGCTTTTATTTTTTTTTTCTCCCAAAGCATCTATTAAATGGATAGATTCTTTTTTAAAGGACAAATGCATTTATTATCCAATAGAGTCACGGGCTGCTTTATAGTGTTAAACCAGAGAAGGCAAAGTGAAGACAAAACGCCGATCCAGTAGTTTGTCATATATTTCAAGGAATCCTTTTATCTGTTTTTAAGCAATCTCCATTCTCAAACCGTGCCATAGCACCCTCTGCTGCTCCTGTGGCCAAATAACCACTAACAGCTAAAGCATCTGCCCATTTACATGGCCAGTATTGCAGATACACAGTCTTGGCATTTAATCATCGATATTTCAGACAGAAAGGGAGAGGCATGCACACATCCTTTAAAGAGAAACCTCCTTCCAGAAAAAGACATCTAATGAACTCTGAAAAGGCAGTGAGTGTCTTTAAGAGAAACCACACCGTCTGCAAAGCCTCCCCTGAGAAATGAGAATACCAGTACTATGTAATAAACAGCAATGGTTATTTGTACTAATTTAGGCATTTCTGGGATGCCAGATATTATCTGCCAGTCTTTACACGCACAAGCTTATGACTTCTTCAGCTGCTATGGAAGAATAAGAAATTACAGAGGAAACTATTACTGCATTAAAGAAGAGGACACAGTCTGTCAATAGGAAATAACAACGCAAACCAAAAGCGGAACAACAGAAAGACAAATGAAATCAGGGAGAAAACAGCAGCGAGCAGAGGTGAAGAGCCTCCCAGCCACAAAATAAAGCCAAAGCTGTCAGAGCGACACAGAGACCAGACACCCAGCTGCTTTGGTGCCGCAAGCGTCCCTCCTCCAGGGAAGCGCTTTTACAGGCAGCACCCACCAGAAAGATTATCTCCTCTCTACAGCTTGCAAGGATGAAAAGTAACATGCAAAAACGCGATCAGTTTGGCCTTCGTTACAGAAATACAGAATTAACCAAAGGGAGGAACAACTACTTTTAGTGTAAAATATAACTCAGGGTAAACTGATACTGTTCGATAATAGATAATCTGATATGGTATTAGCTATGAATAAGCACAAAGCCTTGTTAGAGATAAGACCTAGAACAGACTTTCATGTTCTGTGATCTAAAATATTCTTCAGCCTTTAGTCATATGGGCCTGATTTTCACAAGCCTGGCAACTTGTGATTTCAGCTGAAGTGCACTGGTGCCAGGAAGGCTTTTGGGTATCCAAACCAGGGCCCACTGCAGGAATCCCACCAGAAGAGACGTGGTACCCCCAGAATACTGTACCTCGGAACCGAGGAACCCGTGGGGCTGCCGAATGTCTGCGTACCTGGAAAAGATCAGAGGGGTGGGGGGTGGGGGTGACACGTTAGACTGAAATCTTAGCCCACTGATTTTAGAAACACAGTTTGCATATTTGGACAGTTCAAGAGGAAGGGGAAATGTTTTCCAGAAGTGAGTTTTTAGAATAGATTTCATGTGCTCAGGATAAAGCCTGCTCTCTGTATCCTTAGGTGCTCTCAAATTAGATGCCGAGGTGAAAGCCTGCTTAGTATTTTTATCGTTCTTCAGCTATTAAGCAAAGGATGTGCATCTCGTAAATTTGCTGGTAAATCAGGGTATCTGCATCAGAACTGCCAGTTCAACGACAATAGGTATAAATGAGAATCATTCTGCCACAATGCTTTTATTTATACACCACTAGAAAGAATCTATTGTACAACGCATCCGGGTTTCATGTACAAAACTTTTCTGCTTGATAAAATTATAGTGCATTTTCCCATCAAAATTCTAAGGCACTTCATAAAGAGTAAGGGAAACAAGGGAAGCCTTATTCTGTTTTCCATGAAACATTACCAGCCTAGGGCTTAGTCACACAACAGTGTGCTTGAGGAAAGTCTGACTTTCGACATGAAGCTGAGGCTCTGCCAATGACACAAATTCTCTTTATACCACAAGAAACCTGCTTGCACAATGCATTTGGAGCAGAGTAGGTAGCTGATACCGTTTACCAGAACCATCGAAGAACACTGAAAAATCAGGATGAAATGATCCAGAGGAGAGAAGACTCTCTCTGGAGTCACTGTGCTTGTCAGGACTCCAAAAAACCCTCTCTACAAGCACTGTTTGCAGTCCTGTCTGAAGTTCAAGCAGCAGCATGACTGATCATCTCATTAGGCTCCTGCATATACATTGTAAGAAAAACAGTACTTTGGCTTCAAATTCTGTTAACATATTAAAGCTAATGGTGAATGCAAAAGAGCCACTTCACACCGGAGGCAAAGATGGTCCTCTATGCAAAAGCCGTTAAGTGCATTAGGAAAAACTGTGCGCACAATGTTATATGCCTTATGATTCTAAAATACGCGTTTTCCTAACTGCTGATTCAAGTGTCAACACAGCCTGAGACAGACATATCACTTCTTCATCTTCATATCACTTCACTAAAATACAGGCATACCCCATTACCTAATTCCTGCTTGGAGACCTCTGTTAATAACTCCCTTGCAACGTCTTTCATCTAATTAATGATCTATTCCAAATATGTCAAAGTTAGTAATACTGTAATATACATCAGATGAAGTCTACTATTCAATTTCCTGACTGTGCTGGGTTTTTTATATCTACTACCTAAGCACCTACTAAGATCACACAAGTAATTTACAGACTCCCAACTCCCTGGTTACTGCTCCAGTGACTCTGGTTCACGTTTCAGCTCTAGTTTGCTTTTAACATGGGCTAAGCCTCCTTAGTCTTTCCTTTTTTTAATAGATCCATCAATTTGACTGGATTTAAGTATTTCACAAACCTTTTTGTTTCTTTGCAGTTAACGTAAGAAATACGAACGAACGCTGAATCAAGAGCTGTAATAATTTGATATTCGTGACTGTTTTTCAGCACACTGAGAAAGTACATTGCATGGGAACTTCAATTATGTACTATTTCTCTTCTACTGCGATAGTGTTTTATCTTAAAAATGGGGGATTCTTGACACTGGCAGGCAAAATGGATCCAGACAAAAATCAAGGTGAAAGCCTCTTTATGGTTTCATATTCTAGGTTACAATATAACATTGTATGGTCAATGCTCTGCTGCAAGCTATGAAGTCCATGAAGACGAGCATAGAAAAGCACACATTTTCTCACCTTCAGGGTTTTATTTGAGGTAGAAGATGTGAAGTTTTATTTCCATAACTTTTGAAATGCTAAAACTGACCACAACGCACAAAAAAAGTTAGTTTTGTTCAAGGCCAGGACCGCTATCTATCTCCAATGAACCTGGGCTAGCAGCCAAATTTTGGTGTACTTATCTGAACACCTTTTACGCATCACCCACCGAAATTATTTCTCATGGTAGCTTGACTTGAACTAATTCATCAAGATCCATTGTACAGAAAGCAGCGAATGGACTAGGATGTTGCAAACAAAAGAAACCAGCTCACAACTCCTTAATGCTGTCAGTAATTAAACTTTTGTGGGTCAAGAAATGCAAAGGCTTCATAATAATTTTCTAAAAGGTACAGACTGGCTTGTCCAGCCACCTGAAATCCATGTCTTAAATATCATAATATCAAACCCACTGCAACTAATTCTCCATACTCTAGAGAAAAACAGGCATGGAGAGGTTGAGCAGCAGTAACTGAAATGCAAGTGCAATCTCAGTGCTAACACATCCATCCTCTTATGAGGAATGAACCTTGAAGACATGAAAAAATAAACAACCTGGTCTGGGATTACTACATGAAAAATGCCTATTGCCAAAGCAGTCTTATGAATAGCTGTGGCTAAACCAACCTTTATATAAAGTCACCACAGTACCCTCAAATATGAGGGAATAAAACACATGTAAAGAAAGCAACATTTTTGTTTGAGACAATATCCAACATTACTTTAAATGCTCATCAGTAACAGCAGCACTGTTGAGGGAGAGAAGATAAATACTGGCTAACAGAAATACCCCCCAGAATTGCTATATCCTAACCTGACTATTAGGAATTACTTAACTGATTGGATGCTTAAAACAAACAAAAAGAAATTTAAAAAAAAAAACAAAACAAAAACAAAACAAAAAAAACCCAATTGAAAACCCAAATCCACCAAGATGTTTAGCTACGAGTACTTTTTATCGTGGGAGCATGACATCAATGCACAGCTGCACATGTTTGCAGCTCACTTTGTGGGGACCATGAATTTTGTGTTTTGTTAAAGGCAGAAGAGAAGGACAGAGCAAAGGGGAAAGAGGAAGGAGCTTAAATACCGAAGCGGGTAGTATCACAACTGGGAAGAGCACAGGACTTTCTTGCAGGAAGGGATAAACCCACAGTGAAGACTAGGAATGGAAAACAGGAGAATTTAGATACCTACAACATGGATGGTGTGGAGATTTTTTTTAAATTCATGAAGCAACAAAAATCTGTTGGACTGGAAAGCAATTTCCCCCATCCCAGTATAGACACAAGGGATGTGGGCTAGTTTCCTTGCAAACATTTGATTCAAACCAACTAATGCAGCTGCTCTGAATTTTCTCTTTAGACAGAGAATTACCTGTTCTGGTTTACTGCAACAGTCTAATAAAACATTCTTAAGAAACAGGAAGCATTTTCAATAATCTTTGATAAGCCTACTTAAAAAAACAAGAGGAGTCTAAATTAGTTTAATTCAATCTTCTGCTTTAGTTGGGTTTCTTTTAGCAATGGAGTTTGCAGGAGTTAAAAAAAGCTACCATATAACACTTGCCTGTTTCCCAACAAAACTATTCTGATTATAATATCAGGACCTAGATATGAACACCTTGATGATTTAAGGTGTTTGGCTGCAATGTATGCTTTTTGCTCAGTAGGGGAACTGTGAAGTTGTAACCAAGATTTTCAGCATTTTATATCAAGGCTTCTCTCCTCTTCTACTTCCACCGAGCAATGTATTCACTCTCACCTATGGAGGGCAAGGATTTACCTCTTCTGTTAACTCCATGCACTGCAACAATCTCAAGACAAGTATTTTGGTTTTAATAAAAAGGCAATGACTATACTGGCGGTCAGAGTTGCAGATAATGGTATTTTTCATGTGGATACAGACCAAAACTAACCAGATGAGATGTGATGGTGCTGATGTACAAAACTCTTTGGATTATAATCCCTTTATTCTGTCATTAGTTAGTATTTAGATACAGGACCAAGATAATGCTGTTAAGCATCACGCAATGGAAAGGTTAGTTCAATGTTTGCAAGGTGAAACTTCGAGGTCGAAAGCAGAAAAACAGATTTTCCTTTGTTTCCACCCATAACGGCTGCAATGCACAGAAAACGATTACTTACTATCCAACTCCTCCTCCTCATCACTGGAATAAGAGCCAATAGAAAAGAGAGTTTTAGACTTAGGAATGAGTGGAGAGATGCTGAAGGAGAAGGAGATTCGTCTCGATGGTCGAGTCCGGCCCTGGGCTGAGAAGTGGGTTAACAGCAGACATTAGAGCATGCTTGAAAATGCATTCAATAATAAAAGGGAGAGGAAAGCAGCCAAAGCAAACTAAAACCAAAGCAAAGGAAATGTCTGCAAAGCAGCTGGCTTCAGAAAAGGCACAAGAAACAAAGAACTGAGAACGTGCAAATTCCAGAGGATGCAAGTTTCAGAGGATGCAGGTCGCACTGCATGCATAAGTCAAGGTTCAAGGCTTTCTTATCTTTGCTGTCATCTTTTTATAGGAACTCTTAACGAAGACTTGTATGCGAACAGTCATTTTCCCAAACAGAATACCAACAACAGAGGCGATCTCTGGACAAAGGGCATCTGCTTCACTGAAATAACTGCCAGGGAATCAAACTAGAACAACTCAAGTTCTTGTTTAAGGGTGCTTTTTGCAGTCAAATGACACCAAAGCTGCTGGGTATAGCAAGGATACTTTATCTGAAGTGTTGACTTTATCTACCTAGGGAGGTTCTTGCCACTTCTACCTCTAAAAAAAAAGCCAACACCATTTCGATAATGTTATGCCCTTAAAAGCTTCCAGCTTTAAAATGGAGAGACCTACATTTCCTTTTCTTCTCCAAAATAAAACAGAAAAAACAAGCATCTCCTCTCTTGCCTTCTTCTAAAACTCAGAGTCCTTATTTCAAACAAACTGCCTAAACACGAGAAAAGCCCCTCTGCACCCTCTCCTGTCCTTGCCCGGAAGAAGTCTACCAAACACAGTGCCAAACTCAGCAATCAGTCTGTGACATCAAATCTCCCGTTATCAGTAGGATAATGACAACAAGTTCAATCATCTTTTCTCAGACTTGTTACTGCTCTGCCTTCTGCTTATTTCAATTTGTGAAGTTATATTTATCTTCCAGTAATGTGCACTTTTCCAGGAATCCCTGCTATTTGTCCATGCCTTCGTCTGCAAACTTTGCAAATTAAAAGGGTTTACTGTAATTCCTGTTTAAAAATAGTTTATTTTTAAAAGCAGCTCTTGCACAGCAGCAGCTTTCCAACAATTCTTTATAAGTACAATCTTCTCTGAAAAGAGATGTGGGAGCCAGCTAGCCTCTCTTAACTGAAATGGCTACACAGCCTCTTATGGAGATGCCCAAGGGCTGTATTTCCCAAACCTTCTCATCGCACAAGCACAGGTAGAAACCTCTGAGCTGTGACCTGACCAACAGCAGGTTGCTGGATACTCATCAGTCACACGGTACATCAGTGTGTCCTTGGGAAAGATGACTGGGACAGGGCTGGGGAAACTCTGCCCCGGGACAGGTCTGACCTAAGGGTCCTACATTAAGCATCTACATTAAACACCTTCAGTGCATATATTCAGGCACTTTTAAGTCATTTTGCTCAACAGGGAAATGAGCCTAGAGACTTTATCAGTGTTAAACTGCCAAGAGAAAGAAGGAGCAATTACTACTCTCTTTGAATAAAACATGTCCTTTCAGCCATATACAAAGAGAATTTTTTGTATTGCTGGTATCATATCCCAAAACTAAATTCAGAATATAAAAATATTATCCGAGGAATATCCAACGCAATGCAAGCAATGCAAAGCAAACTCCCCTGAAACTTTCCTTCAACCATTAGTCATAAATGCCAATTGCCTGGAGGCGATTTGACTAAAATTATGTGCACACTTTTCCAACGTAAGCAGAACAACCCTAGAGGAACCCAATGAAAGGCATTTAACGTGAAGAATTCTTAGCAAGATTCATGCATTAATTTTGTTTAGACTGCCTTTCAAAGGAGTTGTTCAAATGTCCCAGACCTGAAGAACATGACCAGGCAACACTGCTTGCTTTCTTCTATAGTCTACTGTCTATTTAGACTAGAAGTCAAGATGAACAATAATACTTTACTGTAAATAGAACCACCTCCTCCAGCACAGTTCAATTCAACTTCCATTTCAGTGGTTTTATTTATAGCAGTTCCTGGCTTTATAACAATGCTCCACACTGGAAATTTGCTATTCCAAAGCCGAAAGCAGTCTTCCGAGCACTCCAGCCAACAGCTCTTGTGACCTCCCTCTATAAAATGCTGAAGGATTAACAGTTGTGAATGGCCACAGCAGCTTTTGGAACACCTGAGACATCAGATGGAGTGCAGGCTAGAAACTCAAGTCTTGGAAATTGCTCCTGCCACAGTACATATGACAACAAATGGGAAAAATAAGAGAAAGTCCTCCCTATGTTTATTCATTTGGATTTAGTATTCAAAGCTTTTGTGCAGAACACGTTGCTTTCTTCCTATTCAGACACATTTGCAGGGATCAGAGAATTTTTTTTTAAACACCTACCACAAAATTATGCAAGTGGAATGAAGAATTAAAGTTTTCCTAGAATTCACCTCTGTGAAATCAAGGATTTATTCTTGCTTAACTCTGAAGTATTCTGCCACATTCTGCCAATAGTATGAATATCAAACCTAGGCGATACAAGGGAGTTTATACACCAAGACCTTGTAAAAGGCACTAGGCTGCTTCACATGTACTTATGGTTACAACTCAAGTAACAATATTCCTCTTTCAAAGTGACTGAGGAAGAATGAAGTGATTTACTGAAGTTTCCAAAGTCAGGGAAGTGTCAGAGTTGGGAAGAAAATCCGTGACCTAAATTTTCAAGGTGAGTAATCCTTTTGGATGCTCACATCAACCGCCTCAAATGCATCGATTTTCAGAAACCACCTTCCTATAAAAATGAGGCCCTTCTGAGGTGTCACAAATTAACTGCTGAGAAAATAAAGCTCACAGAAGAGTTAGTAATTTTTAACTTAAGCATCCAAAACTCACAGACATCTGCCTCAAAGCAGAAGACTACCCTGCTACTTCTTCCACAGCCCCTCTGGAAAGCTTACTACATCTTCTGTTTTTCTTCTCTCTCAACGAGACTGTTGTGGCTAGGCCAACTCTAGAAGAAGATGGGGTAATCAAACCTGTCTACCACCAGCTCAGGCCTCGACGGCATTTTTAACGTGGGTCATACGACAGAGAAGAGCAGGAAGGCAGCAAGTCGTCTGATTCCAAGATGGAGGCATGAATCCTCTGCTGTCGTAACCCACAGGCCTGAAGGAAAGTCTCAAGGGAGAGGGAGACGAGCCTCAGCCGGCCAGGCGCCCTCAGCCACCAAGAGCATGTTTTCTGGGAGCTAGCTGAGTTATTTATGGTGTTTTGTTAGCAACCGGATGCAATGCCAATAAATTGGTTGCTTCAAAAAAAAAAAAAAAAAAAAGAAGGCCTTCAACCCAAGGAGGAAAGAGGGTGCGCCATTACACAGAGCAAGAGCCGGTCTCCTTACGGGACAGATCTGCCAGCGTTTTGATCACCATTGCCGGCGGACACATCCATTAGGCCATATGCTTATTAATCATGGAAGAACGATGGCAAAGAATTTAAAAGCATCTCCTGCAAAGCATAATCTCTGTGAGCTTCCTCCAGCAAGCCTCCTAAATTAATAAAATCATAGAATCATAGAATGCTTTGGGTTGGAAGGGACCTTGAGAGATCATCGAGCCCAACCCCCCTGCAGTAAGCAGGGATTGAACCTGTGAACTTGGCGTTATTAGCACCATGTTCTAACCAACTGAGCTAACCCGGCTGGTATGCCTTTCTTAAAAGCACCTTTCCCTTGTTTAGGCTTGCAAGGAAGCAGCATCTTAATAAAGAGAAAAAGATCAGAGACCATCACTGATTGACAAGACGTGATCTAAAACGTCCCTACCCTTCCGAAGCACATCCAGCTGCAGCCTTTTGAACAACTTTTTCAGCTGAAAGAATCAGTCAAATTGCAAAATTAAGTGCTTGTTATTGCTTCAATTAAGCAAAACTGAAAAATTTCACCTAATCATCTCTTTTTTTTTTTTTTTCCAGGAATGAGATTCGATAAATTATGCCCAACTGCCCCAAAACATTTCACTCAAACAGAAACAAACTTCCCCAACGAGACCAAGACATGGATTCTCAAGTTTTCATATATCAACTTCCAAAAAAATCCAGAAGTAGGAAAATAAGATCTCAAGTGGAATTTACCTCGACATCAAAGGAAGAAATTTTGAAAGGATGCAATATTAAAACTTTTTTTTAATAAACTCAATCAATCATAGTTTTCATACCAGTAGCCTAATTAAGATAAAACAAAGAAAAGAAACCCAACAGAAGTGGAAATACTAGGGATACACTGGGAAGAACAAAATATGGATCTAAACTGAATGGGTTCTCCTTTTCCACCCACAATTCCATGCAACAGTGAAACATATTTCGCATAATACAGGAAAGCAAGAGCAGGTACGAGCAAATTCTGCCTTGGGAAGGTAGCAAGATATACTTAATAATACAGATGATGGAATGGATAAGGATAAGGGAAAATTGCGTTACTCACTGTCCTGCGCTGGTTTACTAATTGACATTAGAGACACAGATTTGGTCAGTGGAGATGAAACAGCAGAAGAACAGAAATTAAATCCTTGCGGCTGAGATGTTTGATGCATCTGCAGAACAGAAAACAACCACACTGAGCAAATATGTCAAGCACGACAGCACCATCCCAACTACAGATGTTTAGTGCTCATGTTTACTGAAATGCTCACTTTCCAACAGCAGAAAACTGAAATGATCCTGGTATAGGGTAATAGGTGAGAAATGCAAGGACCACAAAAAAGGCAATTAGTGTCACACAGGTGAAATGCAACATTTTGTTTTGTCTTTTTAAGCGTACGACAACTACTTATGCAACAAACAGAGAGACTCTGGCTCTTTGGTTTTCTTGCAAGATACTACAAGATGGATATTGTTAACTGCCTGATGGCCACTGAAATTACTGCTGTGATTCCAACTCCTCAGCATAACCAGATTGCGGTTCAACATGGTAAAAAATCTGATGCTTAACAGTGTGTTCCCCAAAAACGCCATTCCTCCAAGCAAGAGAAGACATGAGAGTCTTTGACATAACAGCTCTTACAGGCCAGATCTTGTAGGATCCGTTTACTGCCTTGATGTACAGCAGTGACTCTACAAGGTAAACAGACTGGCTGGCTAATGATTCTGGCATGAACCCAGAAAATACTATGGCTGAAACTTCAAACTCAGAAATCCAGGGTATTTAGAGTGTTTAAGACTATAATTGCTTCTTTAATAAAAATAAGCAGAGACTCTCATAATATTGTGGCCCATGTGTCCTTAATAGCTATCACAGAATTCCGCTCCAGCGAGATCACTCTGCATTTTCTTAATATGAAATTAATATTTTGCTTAACTGTTGCTTATAATAATAAGCCTTTTGATTCTGGTTACGCTTATGAAAGAAAAAAAAAAAATCTTTATTTTCCTCCTGTGATACAAAAATAAACTTGAACACTTTAACAGATAAATTACTACTTGGTATTTGTGTATATTTCAGGTCTGCAAAAGGCAGCATAAGCATTATTTGCGGAAGCCTTATAACACCTGCAATTGATAGTATCACTATATCCATGCTAAAAATTTTTTCCATGATTACACATGCAATCTGTGGAAGAAAACTGGGAAATTTCTTGTTCTCCACCCTAAGACTTCACCCATCAACCACACTGCCCCAAAGAACCAAGCAGCAAATTTAACACAGGGGAAACTCCTCTGTGTTAAAGATGGAAATCTTTAATAATATTACATATACAAGGTGCAAGCCTTCACAGCAAAACTGTGTCTTGGAAAAATTACTTCAAAACATCAATGTAGCATTTTCTAGAAATCTAACAATAGCTGTACAGCTTTACCTGGTGATCGTAGTCTCTGACTTCCCCTTGCTCGAGTTCTTCAGTGAGCAAGACCAGGGACCCACACTGATTGCTGGCAAGCGGACTCCGTCTGAGGTCTTTGGAGCTCAGAGAAGAAGCCTCCAAGTTTGTAGAGGGCTTCTTGTTCTCACCAGAGTCTCCAGCAAGGCCTTCTAGGCTGTAACTGAAGAGAAACCATGGCGGTTAGATCCTGACAAACTCTTAGGGACTGGTGTTTTTCAGCACATAGCACCTTGACGCATAAAACACAATGCAGTCACTAACTGAACTGTGCAGGGAAATGCTGATCTTATTCCTCAGCATGTTACTTCTCAACGACCAAGTGCAGACAGCGGTGGAGGGATTTCTATCTTCTTCATAACTAATATAGCAGCATCTTTGTGCCTCTAAAGAGACAGTAGTTGCTTGAGAGCAACCATCCAAACTCTTCGTCAATGGGCTTTCCCACTTTTTTTTCCCCCTCCTTCTTCAATGGTGCACAGGAAAATCTAGAAACACTACTTCTGAAGATTTTGATGCTTCCACATACTCTCTTCAGTAGCTTTTTATTAGGTTGTCTCAGGGCTTAAAGCCACCCAAATTAAACTACCTCATATAGCACAGTGCTGCATGACCTGGACCACCACCGCTCCCAGCAGGCACAAAACCAGCTCTGGGCTGCATGTAATGTTCATCTCTGCAGACACATCCTCTGAATCTATTTAGCCCTTGCCACTGCACAAAGCTTCAGCACTGATAATGTCCTTCTTTCCTGCCAAAGCTCGTTTCTTTTTTTCCTTTTCTGTGTTTTGTGGTTTGTTTTTTTTAAATTCAATAAATATTGTTTCCATCAGCCAACCAATCCTATTTTATCATTTGCTGATGAAGCTAGGTCTGTCCAATGGAGCCAGACATAATCACTCAAACCTAAACAAAATACCAAGCTTTTGCTTGCAGAATTGGTAGTAACAAAAGGCTTGGTCAACCTCTGTAGAGACAGCTGCTGATAGGCAAGTGACCTCTACAGAAAAAGGCTAATACACTCTCTTCTCACCTATACAAAACAGCCCCTCTTTCACATGTGACTATTTCCACCTGATGTATCTTGGCCCTGATATTCTGCCTCCGACCTTCCTGCTCCTCATGCCCAAGCATCGACAAATCCACTGCAATGCCAGTTTGGGTTAATGTGCAAGCTTTACAGATTCACCTCCCGGTACACTAGCACAACTCTGTGGCTAATGTTTGATTGTATGCACACAAAGTTCTGCTAGCTTGAAGCAAGGCCTATGCTGGATATATATCCCAACTGCAGGTTAATCATGACATCTAAGTGGCCAACAAGCTAACATATAAGCAAATGAAAGGAAAACACACTGCAGATTGTACAGATTATTTAAACAACTAGAGGACCTTTAAATTCAGGTCGACTTGCACAGCAGTGATTAATGTTCTGCATTCCTTCAGAAGCGTTAAGTGGCTGATAAATATGCATCTTCGAAGCAAAAATTGCAATAAACCTCAAGTAAGATTTACTTAATTTTGTAAGACTTTTTTCATGTTAGTTAGTGAGAAAGAAGACTGATTGAGGCATTTACAATTTAATCTGCTTTAGGAAGATTTTGGCTCAACAATGTGTATCAATAGCAGACATTATAAAGTTTATTCTAAAACACCTGCAAAGAGAAATCAGTCCCATTTCTACCAATTATTTAGGGCAGAGGAAACGTTTTTTTTCTTGCATCCCAAGATGATAACAATGGTGCCATATAGTGCATAAAAAATTGTGTAGTTTGTCGTGACACAAACAGCTCAAAAATGCCAATATTGGAGAAATAAAAATAGTCATCAGTTGGTAATATTGGTCTGTAATTGTTGGTTGGGGTATATAGATCAAATGTAATTAAACCTGTAATGGGAAGGACTTATTGACTTCTTTCTCAGTATCTAGTCTTCAGAAAAAGAGTTTATTAGCTCTACCCACAACCAACAAGAACTGCCAGAAGAACTCAGGAGCTATAAAACCTGGGAGACCAGCTTCCAGGCAACATCATGTAAAGATCTTACCTGCAAGCATCAATCCCAACTCTGGGACTTTCTACAGAAGATACAAGCTTTAAATATCTGGGAAATCTATCAGATTGGTTTTTCACATAAAGTTTTACATGATTAGCCTCTTTGAAGAAGAAACTAGATCTTTCAATTTACAAAGAGCAAGTCTGTATGAACTTAAATCCTTCATGAGATCCGTCCAGAACAAAGCAGTGCTGAATCATGTTAACTCTCGTTTTGATTCTTTGGCTGTCACAATTATTGTTGTGATCATCGCTGCAGAAAACACACGCCTTAAAATCATCACAGAACAGAGCAGCTCAAGCCAACAGTGCAGCTTCTTTAACACTCAAGGCCAATGAAAAGCAGCCACCACCTTCACCTGCACCCCAGTTCAGAAGACCCATTCCCAAGACAAATTGCTGAAGAAGCAGCCGAAGCAAACAAAACGCGTGCGCACTTCAGCCAGAGCAGCAGCAGCAAAGGCAATGCATGAAAAGCTGACGACAGGGTGTTTGCAGTGCTCCTTCGCTGCTGCTGCACATTTATTTATACCATACCTTCTACAAGTAAAGTCAGGACCCATGGCAATGAACTGTACGCCAGAGGGACACCAGCTCAAACTGGGAACATTAAAAGAGGCAAAGAAAGGAAAAGGGCTGTGATTATTGGATTGTTACGGAACAGGGAATGTTAAAAGACTCTCACTCTTGCATATCTTAAAAAAAACCCCAACAAACTCAGAAATAACGCAGTAGCTACTATATATTTCTGGCTGCCAGAACACACCAGAGTGCCCCAAGTGACCGCGGTTACCGCCGAACGGGTAGCAGGACAGCCCATGCTTCCCCCAAACTGATCCCATCGGTGAGTATATAATGTACTGGAGAAACTACTCCTTGCAGGGAGAGAAGTTTTTGGGGAAAAATGGGCTGAAACACACCAAAGCCAATTTTACATAAGTAATCACACACAGCCATTTTGTTAGTAATGATTAGTGTTCTTCTGGTACCTCTCATCCCCAAATCAGAAAAATAATCCCTTGCAGATATTTAAGTCGCCACCATACAAGTATTAATAATGTCAGGCTGCACTTGGGAAAAATAAGGACAGCGCTACATTCTTAAATGCTGCACAGCAAATCAGTGAAAGAGGCTGGAAGAAAAAAACGGGCTTGTCTTACTATTAATTTGGGATTAAATCAAGAGTCCTTCAGAGAGTACTTTGACTAGAAAACCTTTCAGCTCCCATACCCCAAAAGAGTCCCAAGTTGCATCATGAAAGACATAAGAAATGCAAATACAGAATGCAAATATTTTGGTTGTTATTTTAAGTACTGCTTTTGTTATTTTTCCTTTGCCAGCTCATGGCCCAATTGCAGGTTTTGCAGACACAGAGAAATCAATCTTCTTGTCAGCTATGACATACAAAGGATCCCTAAATCTTGGAAAAGCTGTCCAGGAAACATACGTCGTCTGAGGGGAATTTTGCATCAGCACACATCTGCCAGAGCAGCTCTGCACAAGTCCTGCTCCCAGCCCCTGGCCTACAATCCACACAAGGAGAGGACATGGCCAGAGCATGCTTTGCTCCATGCCAGGAGCCTACGAAAAGGGCAGAACAAGTCTAAGCATCCCTGGGCCAGGATTTGTGAGTGCCAGAAGCCTCAGAGGGTAAAGACAAAGGTTTAAAGCCACTGACTGCATCATCTCATGCCAAGTCCTCGTATAGTTTCCGCACGCAGTACGACACTGGAAACATTCAGGAAGGGTTTGACGGTTGGTGTTCAATGGTGGAGTTCAGATAATTGCTCCCTGTTTTATTGAGGATGTTAACTGGGCGAGGACACACCTGAAGTACCTGTGCTTTGCACCCCAAACTCCAGGTGTGCTTCACCAGTCGCTCTCAGCACAGCACCATAAGCACTCTTCATGAAGACATACCTTCCCGTAACATGCCAATATTTCCAAGTACTTCACCATCACCATCCAATTAAACCATGGTGGCAGATGTATTAGTGAGGGATGGGGGGGACTAAATACTTGCTTGAGATCATACAAGAACCAAGTCCTGGCCACAGTAAACCCATCTCCATCATACATCTCAGTCTGCACTCTCAGGCTTGGGTTCAGCCTCCCAGCAGAGTTCAGTAAAACCTGCCCAGCGGAAACTAGACGGAGGCTGAGAAAGTATCCCAAGGAAGGTATCCCACACGCTTCCCCTCTCCTCGCTTCCCCCCGCCATCTGCCTGTGGCCCCAGGACTACTGGGCTTGGTGGACCCTTGGAGCTATGCTTATGTCGACTCGTTTGTAAAAGTCAGTAATTCTTGTGTGGTCACTTTTCAATTGAAAGAGAGAGGATTGTCCTCCTGAAAGAGACGATGCAACATTTGCACTAGATAGTGCACTTTAAGATACCTCTGCTCCTGACCATTAGCATGTTATAGTGATAATCCCAAATGCTTCCTGCAGGGAAGGGAAGCAGAAGAGTGGACGGAGGGAAGGAGAGGAGCAATGCATATATGGAGGAAGAAGCCTGGAAGTGGTGGAAGGTCTCAGAGAAGGAAAAAGACCTTTTGGCAAGGGCTGTGGAAAGCAGTCTGACAGAATTACAATCCCGCTGGGGAGCCACCCACAATCTGCTGGCATCACCATAAAAACCAAACAAGATCAATGCAGAGCATGCCAAACCCCTTTATGGAAGACGACTTGGGGAGGGGTGATGAGCTATTATATACATCAGCCTTGTGGGAGAACATAAACTGGTAGAATTCATTTCAGGCTGCTGCCCTGCAACTGGGGTTAGAGAGGATGATACCAAAATGGGTGGGATGCCAGGGGGGAAATAAAAGCGAGACTGCTTATGAAAGAATTACGATACATTTCAGATATGACTAGGTATTTCAGGTTGCCTGCTTGAGACATTTTCTTCAGCCTACGTGTAAGGTCAGTGTTTCAGGATATTATGACTCTAAATGCTAACACAGCTCCTACAGAGAAGCCTTAACAGACAACTGGTACAAAGATGTTCATTTGCATGAGCTGAGAAGATGAGCACTGCACTTCTTCCTCCAGAGCAGAGTGATGCAAATAAAGTGGCTTCATAGAAATAAAAAAGCATGTTCTTTCTTGTGCCTTTAAAAAAAATTATTTTTTAAGAGCCCTCTCCTGAACTGCACAGCACTGCTCATATGGCTTCATTTATGCTGATGGCATGGTGGTAATAACATCGTGGTAACATTTTTTCCATACGTGGAAATACAGTAGTTTGCTTACACACACACATGTAACCCCATCCATTTCAAGGGAAACAAAATCCTGACTTAACCTGCCACAGGAGGAGAGGTAGCAGGCTGTGGGAGATGAAAAGACGTTGTACCGCTGAAGGGGAGAGGTTAAACTTCTCTTCTTTTTTTCAGCCTAAAAATGTACACGTGTGGACAGTCCACATGTCTGCTGTGTCAAAAACTGAGTGTCCTATTTTATATGTTAACAGACAGCGCAAAGGTTACGTGAGTGAAAATGCATTAGCTGCATGACAGATAAGGAACTGAAAGTTTGCAATACAGAACAAAAAAAACACACATGGAAGTAAAGAAAAAAATACTTATTTTCTACTTTTTAGGACAATGGTTTTAAAAAACTTCAAAAGAGCAAAATTAAAGGCATTTAATTCAACCAGCTGCAGATCTGCACAGTATTCTCCAACTCTGAGATCATTTCTGACGCATCCCCTCCCCAGGTTCCCCCCCTGCAAGTCTTGGCAGCGAGTCTCTGATGCGCTTTAAAACCAAATTACGCACATGCTCACAGGTAAACAATTATTTTAAAACAACTCCAAACCTTACACATGGCAAAGGCCAACAAAATGATATCTGCGATTTCTCCAAGTTATCAACATATCATCCCGGAGAAAATGGCTTGAGCATGTGCTCTGCAGGTCAGAAAAAGTGCCCTGGGTCAGACTGGAGAGGGAAAGCAGCCAAGTGGGATGCATAGCTCTAATGCCAATGCTTCGAGAGGTACTACAGGTTTACTAACATGACAGTATGGAGTTAGTAGGCATTCAAACGCAAAATGGTTAATCACGTTAGTTGGCTTTGTACCTTCTCCTATGAATGGGAGGCTTCTTTACACCATCCCCCAGAACTCGCACTGAACTGAAAATGAATCATGGAGAGTGGTCAGCAGCTTGAATGGAAAAAGATGAACAAATGGCAGCTGAAGGAATATCCCCAACAAATGAACAACAGAAGGAATGGGCATACAGAGAAAACACAAAATTAAATACTAAAGGAAGGAAGTAATGAGTCTCTCTTTTCCTCCTCTCTCTTTTACAAATAAATCTGGGTTTTGGTTGGTTTGGTTTTTTTTTTTTTTTTAATACAGAAAGAAGGTTTCACAGGTACTGACCGCATTGCAACTTAGCTGCTGCCAAAGCCAGGTCAGTTTAAAATTTCGGTAAGGACAAACTATTTGACAGAAGCTGTTAGCAACCATGATTAACACCAGCTTCAGTTTTGCAGTGCTTAATCCATCAGTGAAAAATGACGGCGTTTCTTTCCTCGAAACCGAACGTTAAAAACACTGCATCATTGTTGAAAGACAGGCATTTCAAATCCGCTATGAATGCCAGGAATTAACTGAAGGACGAACATCCTTTTGTGGCAGCCTTGTTAGTTTTCTTTGTATTTTTAATAGCAAAATATAGACATGAGGATTATCTGTGAAATGAATTTGAGGAGAGAGCGGAAGCGGATGGGAACTGAGCACATTTTCACATTTTGTTTAAGATGATTACATTTTTTCTCATCTTTTCTGTGAACAAACTTTTGTGCTCGTCCCTCTTACAAACAGAAAACATGTAACACTGGAAAAGACCAAACCCTACAAAAGACTGATTTTTTTTTCAGTAGGCTTTTTGGGTCCTCTATCAGCAGCTCTATTTAAGCTTGACTTAGCTACCTTTGCCATCGGGGGAAAGACAGTTTTGGTGTGGACGGGGGCTGGACCAGGCTGCGAGCCCTTTGCTGGGACAGGAGGCACCTCTTCCAGCTCGGCTGAGCATGCAGCCTGCCACCCCACTCCTCTTCCCGGCTGCGCAGTTCTAATCCTTGGGTTTGTTTGGGTGGCAATTACACTTTACTTGGTTCGTTTTCTGCCCATTTAGTGAGCGTGCCCAGAGGAGGAGAGGGATGGGGTGGGATGGGGCAAGGGGTGGCAGGCGGTGGGAGCAGCACAGGTCCTGCCTGGCAGCAGGACAAACCTTAGCTAAGGCTTGTGCTCCCTGTTACTTCACTTCAAAGGGTTGCAAAAGTCACGTTACAATAAGGGCTTTTCCCCTTTAAATGGAAAACTATCTGCTGCATGTGAAATAAATGAATAAGCGAACACCCAGAATTTAACTGATTTGTATGAAAGTCACTTGTTTCGGCTTCACTTCCTCAGTATTTGTTGTTGCTCACTAAGCAACCAGAATCTCAACATCACAACAGCCACGTATGAAAAGAACAAAGAAAAAATAAACCCCAAATAATCCAAATTCCTTTATAACAGAAACATAAAAACAAACAGGAACAAAATCATTAGCGGAGACCCACCCAGCTTTTCTTTTTTAATTAATCTATGTGACAGCTAGCCTTATGTAGCAGCAGCTGTATCTAAGAACATATGAGAATAATTACTGTTCCTTTAACTCAAATTTTCTTACATTTACAATGAATGTATTTTCCCATATCAGGAACAGCCTCCAAAGTCTGACAGAGGAGAATTTAACCCCATCTGTTAAGTGTTAGCAGTAATTGCCAGCTATGCAGTTTATTACCCTCAGAAATCCTTACATAACAGGTCCTACACTTAAAAATAAATCGCTCAAAATGAGTTTATGAGCTTATGGACTCATTCTGTCATAAACCTGCATGTATACCTTATGCTGGCTCTTTTGTAGCTTTAAAAAGATAGGTATTAACTTCATTTAAATATTACCTGGGGACGAGGAATAAAGAAAAAAAAAGGTGGCAGTGGTAAACAACAACAACAACAATAATAATAAACATAAATCTTTGACCCTATGTTACTTAGAGGGTCCTGAATGTTTTTCAACATTGGCTTTAAAATCTGAAGGGTCTATGATATTCCTTTAGTGATACTCACAGCTCCTAATGTGTAAAGGATGCATAAGCTTCTGATGGGAGGCTGCTGCCTCTCACTGGATTATCCAAACAGGTCCGTAACAATTTACCAGAAACCCGTTGCGTGTGGCCAGTTTTCATTTGACGGCATCACCAAGCGCAACGGCTCCGTTTATCTTAAAAGCAGACCTGTGGCCGTGAAGACGGCAGCAGGCAGGCTGGAGAGCAGCACTGCACGCCTGGGCTTGCAGCCTCCGTAAGCCACAAGCCTACAGCAGAGGGACAGGAGGACACGGCACCCCGGACCTGCTGAAACAATTGGCCACATCTGCTCCGGAAGCATTAAACGCGTTAAAAACACTGGCCAAACCCCTGCTGCTTTCAGAACACACAGGGTTTCACCCCAAGCATCCAGCAGCCCAGATGCTGAGTGGTGCAGAGCACGGCGGGGAGCATTACACCAACTATTTTATTGGTGTTCATCTTCATTACTTCACCTTTTTCCCCACTCAGACGGGGGGGCTGAGCACCTTTTCTTCCCCCAGTCACTTGGCACCAGCATTTACACACTCTCATGGCTGTTACACCTCTCCCTCTTGTATCTTCTGAAAAAACAAAAGGGAAAACTTCCCTTTTGAATCTTCTGGGGCACCACCGGGGACATCGGTGGTGAGTTAGATGGGACTTACTGTCCACGAGAGACTGAGGTGGAACCAACTCCGTGAAACAGGGACTACCCATCTCACCACTATGCCAAATGAGGAGCCTCCACACCTTTTTCTAAAACTCTAGTGCCTGTGCTCTCTCTTAATACAATCAGAGCAATAATGGTCATGTTTGTTTTGTGAGAGATTTAACACTCCAACAATTCCTTTAACAAAGCCGTTCACATAGAAAGGTGTGGTGAGAAAGTTCAAATGGAAGACCTGTCCCAAGGTATTTCCATTCACTCTGGTAGGTATTAAGTACTTCAATCCTGAAAATTAATTTAAAAAAAACAAATAAACATACGTTCGTTAGGAGATTGTTTTGACCCCATTGAGTGAAAAAGAAATAATCAGAAGTGACATCCTCAGTTCTCTGTTTTATCATGTCAGCCCAAAGCTTAGATAAATATGCATGAGTGGGTGCAAAGTAAATCAAAACAGCTCTTCACTCACCTCCTCTGATTTATTTCTGCTTCGTTGGTGGCATTCTTGCCCGGCCCCCAACTGTGTCGACGGAAAGGTGACAGTGGACGCATGGAGTTTCGTAAGACAGAGGAATGAGTGGGCACATCCGTGATACTGTCCAGCTCCTCTTCCTTCTCTCCTCCCTCTGCAGCCACCATGTTGGTGCAGCTGCCATCCAGGCTGTCCAGCCTGTCCTTGGGCTGGAGGAAGTTCGCCGTCGGCGGGAAGGGAAGGGACGTGTCGCTGCCCAGGGATGAGTTCCTCTCCAGGGACATGGTGTCATCTGCAGAGGAACTGGAGCTGGTGACATCGCATGCAGACTGCTCCTCTTCAGGCTGCTGTGGATAAGAAAAATTAAAAATATATTAAAGTAGAATTATAGACTGGTTTGGGTTGGAAGGGACTTTTAAAGATCATCTAGTCCAGCTCCCCTGCCATGGGCAGGGACACTGTTTTACTAGATCAGGTTGCTCAAAGCCCTGTCCAACCTGACCTTGAACACTTCCAATGAAATGAATACATTTAACATTTTAAATAAAGGCAAATATTTTACGTTTCACACAAGCTGAGAGATTTCCTAGTTGACAGCACAAGGCAAATTAACCATCACAGAAGTGAGACTTTTTGCTCTGGTTTCCAAAGAGGTTGAAAAGCTCTAGAGCGCAATCTCCTCCACCCAAGTCCCCGGCTGCCATAACCCTGGGCTCCCAGCTCGGGTCCTCTGCCTGCTTCCCTCTCTTCAATTCCACATTTCATCCTGCACACCAAATCCCGCTCCTCTCACCATTTCTGGCTGACCCTGTTATCGGTCAAGATGCCACAGAAGTGCCAAAGGTTTAATGACAGAGAGCGATCAATGGAGAACTGGATCATCCTGACTCCTGACGACAAACCCCAGCCTCTCCTGTGGGACCTGGGATGGGTCTGTAGCTCTCAGCCACGAGAGCCCAAGGGCAACATACTGTTCCACTGCATCACGCGGCACAAAAGGGACAATTATACAGTAGCAGAAAACAGACAGAAAAAATAAAAGCTCAAATCCCCGTCCCCCACTACTTTCCATTAAGCAGGAAGTTAATGCCAGGGTTTGCAGCATTTTTCAAATCCAACTGTAATTGAAAAATATCGTTCCACAGGATCAGCTGCCCTGTATTACAGGTCTCGAGTCATACTGCAATTTTTTGGTTTAGTTTGCTCCAAAAGCAGTAAGTGAAAGCCAAGCTGGTTCTCTTTGGCCAAAGGCCACATGCTGACCATACAGCCCGAGAAGAGCCTGAGCGTATTCTGTGTTCCCCGTGGCTAGCACAAAAAAAACACAAGCATCTCTCTGACATCACCTTCAGCCTGAAATGGTGTTTGCCCCGAGGGACTGACGTGGGAAGTTTCAATTTATTCTCCTGCAGAGCCCTGCACTGTATCATTTAAAATAACAGTAGGCAGAACGATCTGTCAGATCATATATAATAGACTATTCAGCAAAGCCACAGCAGTTAATTGTCTTCAAATAGCAGGCTCGGTGGGTCTCAGCAGAAGCTGAGCGCTCAAGGAGCTGCAGGCTGCCAGGTCTCATTTGGCAGAAGACAACGGGCTACAAAATCCTGTTCCCAGAAGGGACAGGCGGGCATCGAAACCCACGCGGGCCGGGGGAACGGGGGCAGCGCTGCCCCACGCCAGCCCTCGCCTTGGGTCCCACCACCCTGACTTTGTTCAAGCCCAGCAGTGTTAAATGCTCCAGACACTTTGGCTTTTCTGTGCTTTTTTTTTTTTTTTTTTGATGGGCACGTATTATAAGCTAAAGGCTTCTCGTTAAACTGAGTAAAAAGAAACTGAGGTGTTCAAAAAGTATTCACTCAAATATTTCACTACTTAGAGGGAAGCCCTGTTTCAAGTTTGGCTATTTTTTATTCTTATTTCAGTTTAACAGGTACACAATAATGTTCCTAAGGTGGTTTAAATAAATGCTGTCACAGTATTTCCCCTCTCCCATCCATCAAAGAAAAAAGAGAAGAAAAAAAGACAGCATCCACAGCACAACACCAAAGTACAATATACCTTTTAAACACAAAATGTTAAAAAAACGCTAAAAATACATCCCTCCAAAAGCATTCATTTCATGGTAAGGAATGTCAAATACTAATGGTGAATTTGTGTAAATGCTTTAACAGTAAACTTATACTGTAATGTAAAGTATTGGGTTTGACACATATTTAAATAAGAAGTATAGGATAAAAAGAAGAGAGAACTGGAATGGATGTCCTGTAAACTTTTTGATGACGTTTGGGGTTATTCAATATAATCTGATATTTGTGTGAGTCATGATGAGAGCTTACTGAATTGCTTAAATTCAGACAAATTAAGCAGTCATTATGTGGACAAGACTCCTTCAGTAGAGGAAACAGTCCGCTTCGCTTTTCTGAGACGCAGGAAAATACTCTTAGACATTAGGGCAGCACAGCAGGCGGAGGGAGGACTACCCACCATGTACAGTGGAAGGATGGGACAGTTTGGAAACATTAAATTTGGATGCAAATCCAGCAACAATAATGCAGAACATCAAATTATATAGGGCGGAATTAGAGTAAAAAGAGGAATTTTTCCCAGATGAGAATATTGTTCCACTTCAAAATGTAGAACAAAAACCGCTTCCCTAGCAGGGAATATTCAGGGTTTCTATCGTAAAGTGCAGTTGAAAAATGTGAAATGTATTTGGTCCGTTTTAACTTTCACCTTGAGCATCAGACCGACTATAGAACATGATAAACACTTCCCTTGAACTTGTGGCCCACGCTTATTCCTCTGAAAATATTCTGTCTTCATTTAAATGAAGATTTTTTTTTTTTTTTGAAAAGCAGTTAATATGAAAGACCAGGACTCTGTCTGCAAAATGCGAAGTTATGGCTGACACATCTAAGAAACATCTATATTGCAGCCACCTCTGCAAAAAATTAGCTATCTGGCCAAGTGCCAGTAAATATGCGTTGCTCTGTAATCCTATTCGAGTAAGAGAATACCCTGTTTGCAGAATAGAAATGGTTCTCTAATGTGTTCTTTTCCTAGAGGAAAAATGAAACATTAAAGAAATATTAATTTTCTTCAAGTTAGGCTTGCTGCATTGCACCTCAGTGAATTCAACCCTTAACTGTGACCATAAAACTCGTGGCTGAAAAGAGCCTTTACAGACACACGCTAATGGACGTCGTCTTTGCTCTCAGAAACAGTACTTGGTGAGAAGCTAGCAAGAAAAGGTGAGATAAGGCATAAAAAGCGAGTTTTCTGTATGTACTTCTTCATGAATAGGGATAAGAGAAATCACTAGGATGGTGGGGGTATAAGATAACGTCTTGAACTAAATCCCTCCATCTGTAGGAGGTCTTGATAAGCGGAATTAAAATGTTCTTTCAATCATTTTTGTGATGACAACATGCAAAGTGCTGAGACACAAACTTACTCTGTCCCCTGATCTTCCATGTGATAAAGACATTAAAGTTGTTGCAGTATTTAAAAAAAAAAAAAAGGAAGATTAAAAGAATTAAACCCTGGCATTCTGAAGTTTATTTGGCATACCACTACACTAAAGGAGTCAACATCTTTGGTTGGATTCATATATAATCTAGAAGAGTCATTTTTTACTTGGATTTGTCTATGGATCCAGTCCCCCTAAAATTAACCTCAATAGTGGACTATTATTAATTATTTATTAAAATTTTTATGCTTTAGAGTGGAGGAGTCTTCCCTTGGTGAAAGCTTCTCTCTTTAAATTTTTATTCTTTTGGGTTTGGGTGTTTTTGCACGGTTGTTGGGGTTTTTTGTGTTGGTTTTTTTTTTTTAAGAGAAGCAATAATTCTGAAAAAATAAATGCAAAATATTTATGTATTTGTGTATTTCCTTGAGCAAATGAAAACAAAGGCAGAAATTAAACAAAATCCAAGGGGTTGAGTTGCAACCCCTTCCTTTGACAACGATCTGTGGGTTCCCGACTTCCCAAGGGCCTTTTGTCTGAATCATTTCCCAAGAGGCACATTAAAAAACTTCCCAGTAACGCTGAATTTCAGTGGCAGGTTAAAAGTTAAGATGAGCAAAGCGTATGGGCTACGCCCCAGGACGTTGCCAGATGATTGTGAGAAATGACCTTATGCAGCATTAATCACTCAAGAAGGAGAGTGTTGCAAAGCCTGCCCAGATGGCTGGCTGAGATGGAGAAGGAAAAGCAGGATGACGAGGACACGGGAATGAAGCGCTGATGCAAAAAAATAAAACATTCTGCTGAAGCCTTAGACCTCACATTGGAAGCGATTTCTGGATTTCAGTGACAGCCTCTAAAGTCTGAAAAAACAAGCCAGGTTTTAGCGCTAAAGCTCTCTGAACCCAGCAGCTCATGCTACGCAGCTCAGCACGTGTCCTTCAGAGCAAACAAAAAAAAAAAAAAAAAAAAAAAAAAAAAAGAAAAAGAGACAAGCACAGGAGATGGCAATGAGAGCATGCGCCGAACACCAGGGACAGTTTAAGGTACCTGCAGATTTTGTGACCCCACAGACCCCATTTCTTCATGGTCCTGGGATAGAACCAGGGCTTAAAATCTATGCACTTCAAGTAATGTCTATGGAAGCAGCTCAAAGACCCTGGACAGACAATGGCTTGCTCTTTCTAAATTTCTTTTAATGTATTAAGCAGTTAACAGAGGAGGAGGGATTTATAAAATAAAAACCAACTCTAACAGATGGAAGTTCAACTCTTGCTCCACAAAAAAGGGAAACAAGAACAGGACGAGTAATAACAACAATCATCATGACACTGAAAGGTTTGAGATCCTCTTTTTGTTCCTAAACATGTTCTCCCTCTTCCCAGTTTGATATGGAAATTGTACTATTTAATAGGCTTATAACTAACTACAACCAAGACATGCATCTTATAATTTTTCAGAAGGAAGATTACACCCAGCACTTACTTTAGTGGTTATTAAAAATATTTATAATTTGCATTTCTACCAGCTGGGATCAGTGGTCTAAAAAAAACAAAGACTGAATTAAGGAACGAGTGCACAACACTAAACAAGTGTCTCTGGTCCTGCTAGAAATACCTTTAACTGTAGGACGAGAGGAAATGGACTCAAGTTGAGTCAGGGGAGGTTTAGATTAGATATTATGCAAAATTTCTTCACGGAAA